TTTTTTCTTATATATATAATCACTGCTGTTGACAATTTGCACTCTTGGTCCCTCAGATGGGAGGAGCCTGAACGGGGCAGCGACGTGGCGGGTATATAAAGGGCGTGATGGCGGTGGCGTGTCAGTGTAGTGCTGTCTGTGCCGCAACCATGGTGGCTCTTGTCCTAGCAGCGGCCATAGCGACTCTCACCTCAGTCATCACCGCACAGGAGCCGCCTACAGCAGGTGAGTATTATCCCCAGCGAGTGAGAATCAGTTTCCTGTCTTTCCTGGTCTGGATTCTGTGGAACTAATGGTGTCTCCTTTACCCCTTTTTGGAAATTAGTGTTTTTTTATGTGTCTCTGTTGTTAATTATTCAAAATCGTATTCGTATATAGTGTCACACTGTCCACACCGTTAGGTCTCTTTGTAGATGACAGTTCAAATCAAATTCTCTGTAGTCTTTAGGATTGCATTCTCCACACGTCATAAAACCTTATTATACCATTAACCTGTTATCTTTCGGGTCAAATACTCCCGAGACTCTAGAAAGATTCTCTCTCTCTCGGGCTTTCTCTCTCTCTCTCTCTCTCTCTCTCTCTCTCTCTCTCTGTTTCTCTCTCTCTCTCTCTCTCTCTCTCTCTCTGTTTCTCTCTCTCTCTCTCTCTCTCTCTCTCTCTCTCTCTCTCTCTCTCTCTCTCACTCTCTCTCTCTCTATCTATCTATCTCTCTCTCTCTCTATATATATATCTATCTCTTTCTCCCCCCCCCCCTCTCTCTCTCTCTCTCTCTCTCTCTCTCTCTCTCTCTCTCTCTCTCTCTCTCTCGCTCTCTCTCTCTCTCTCTCTCTCTCTCTCTCTCTCTCTCTCTCTCTCTCTCTCTCGCTCTCTCTCTCTCTCTCTCTCTCTCTCTCTCTCTCTCTCTTTCTCTCTCTCCCTCTCTCTTATCTCAACGCTACTACCTTTATTCCTTGTCTTTAACCCGATAAAATAAACAGCTTTCTCTGCGTCTCTACAACTCACTGCTTTGATTGTTTCTCGTGTTTCTCTTGGTGTCTGTTTTATCAAACCTGTTTTATGTTCTCTGTTTTTTTCCCTTCGTTTTCTTTATTTTTATTATTTTTTCTTCGTATTTTTTTTTAAAATCTTCTTTATCTTTTTAACTTTTTATTTCGTTTTTTTTCTTCTTCCTCTTCAGCCTCCTCTTCCATTCCCGTCTAGTTCTTGTTATTTTCTTCATTATTTTCTTTCTTTTTTATTATTCGTTTTTTTTTTGTCATTATTTATTATTATTTATTTTCCTTACACCCTGTTTTCGTTTTTTTTTTCTTTACTTTTTATATTTCTGTTCTTCCTTCTTTTCCTTCTTCTTTGTCCTCTGATTCGTCTCTTCCTCCTCCTTCTCTCTATTTTTTTTTCCTCTTCCCTCTTGTCTTCTCTCCCTTTCTCCCTTTCCTCTTCTTTCCTCACTTCCTTTTCGCCTCTTCCTTCTCTTCTTCTTTTTCTTCTTCTTCTTCTTCTTCTTCAAATAAACAAATAGACAAATAGATAGATAAATAGACAATTAAATAAACAAATAGACAGACAGACAAACAGATAACTAAATACCCAATTGCTACCGAAGATGCGTAGATAGATAGATAGACAGACAAAGAGATAGATGACTAAATAAACAAACAGATAGATAAATAAACAGATAAATTAGATAGATAAATAAACAAAACAGACAGATAGATAAATAAACAGATAAATAGATAGATAAATAAACAAACAGACATGTAGATAAATAAACAAAATAAAGATAAATAGACAATCAAATAAACAAATAGATAGATAAATAAATAGACAATTAAATAAACAAGACAGACAGATAGACAAACAGATAACTAAATACCCATCGTGTTTATTCCTCAGGTTCGAATTGCTACCGAAGATGCGTAGATAGATAGATAAATATACAATCAAATAAACAAATAAACAGATGGACAGATAAATAGACAATCAAATAAACAAATAGACAGATAGATAAATAGACAATTAAATAAACAAATAGACAGATAGACAAACAAATAACTAAATACCCATCGTGTTTCTTCCTCAGGTTCGAATTGCTACCGAAGATGCGTGCCCGGAGACAGGCGCGTCTGCCATTTCACCTTCGAAGTTCATCCTTATCAGACTATGTCCAGGTAAGAAGAAGGAGAAGGAGAAAAAAGGAAAGAAAAGAAAGAAAGAAAGAGAGAAAGAAGTGAAAAGGGAAGGAGAGTGGAAGAAAAAAGGAAAGAAAAGGGGGGAAAGGGAAGAAGGGAGAAAGAAAGGAGAGAGAAAAAATGAAAAAGAAGAAAGGAAAAGGAAAATGGAAAAGGAAGAAGAAGAAGTAAAAGAGAAAGAGACAGAAGAATGAGGGGAAAAGAGTTAGATGAGAGAGAGAGAGAGAGAGAAAGAAAGATTGAAGTTAAGAAAAAAAGGAAGAAAGGGAGAAAGAAAAAAGAAAGAAAATAAAACGAATAGAAAAGAAAGAAAAAAAAGAGAGAAAAAAATTCTTGAGATTTCCTTGAGGTTATTTTGAGGTTTGTTGATATATATAATAAAGAAACTCGGGTCCAGATGATAATTTTATAAGATGA